AGAGAGAGAGAGAGAGAGAGAGAGAGAGAGAGAGAGCTTGTTGTATTCTCGCTGCTACCTCTTCATCCCATAACCTGCTCCTTGAAAGAATGTCTTGATATGGTCTGTTTTTTGCTGTCTTTTGTTTACTGATAGTGCTGTCTGAAAAATTAATTGCCCTGAAAAACGTCCTCCCTCCGGTGAGCTTGCTCTGGCAAAAGCGCTAAAATGCAACACCTTTTTCTTCATGGCCAGCGGCTTTGTGGCGACATGCTCTATAGCTGCCAGCTCAAACCCCAACTTCTCCGACCCCTAGAGGGGACACTCTATGCCGCCAGTGCTGTAGGGCTCCCACTGCAGCCGAAACTTGAAGAACATTCAACATCACTTGTGCAAGTGCTGTCACCCAGGCTGAGGAAAGGCTGAAGTGGCCTGGTGACCCCATTCCTCCTAGATTGGGAGCTATATTTGTCCGCAACTTGGGGGAGCTTTACTCGCGCAAGCACTCCCAGCTAGAATGAGGAAAGACTGAAGCAGCCTGCCAGACTGTGCCTCCAAGATGGTAGAAGTACTCAATTGCCAAGTATGGCTGCCATGGCTAGAGTGAGAGGGAATGGTAGCCATAGCCAGTAGAGGGTTCTGAAACACCATAGCTGCGGAGGGGAGATCTGAGGTAGAGTCCAAGGCTTGGGGGGAGGAGGAAGCTTACCTAAAGAGGGCTTACACGGAATGTACAGCAACAGCTGCTGCAGAGAAGACCAGTGATTGCATGCGCTTGACATTCTTCATTCAAGACTCGGAGGTGGCACTGGGGATTAGAGTACGTGTTGCACCGTACAAAGGAGGGGTTGAGGTGGAGTTTGGAAGGAGGAGGTAACCATTGAACCAGGCTTGGCAAAAAGAAGGTGAGGTAGTTTACCTGCCGGTTGGCGGCCATGACTACCGAGAGAAGAAGACTCTCTGATAGGAGGAGGGAGACCGGCACTTTCTTACGTAGAGAGTGTGTAGCACTTGTGTTAGCGAGGTTAGGGAATGAGGGAGAAGGTCACCATAGCTTCAGGGAGGCAATGTTATCGTGATTGAGGAAGGAGACTCACCACTGCTTCAGAAGAGAGACATTCTCATTTCCAGTTCCAACGTTATGTGTGCTAGCCTGGGATAGGCCAACGCTGTAGAGAGATTGACTTGGGAAGTCGAAGGGGTTTAGAGGTACAAGTCGGTAGATACATTGGGGCGGTGACGAGGGAGAAGCAATCTGAATATCGTACTGATTGTTTATGCTTTTGATGTACCTCATGTCCATGCTCTTCTTCTCCAAACTATTGTGCAATTCTTTGCTGTCTCAAGCTGTTTGGTATCATTGAGTTGAGCCTTTTGAATTCATCTGACATCTGATCGTGAGTTTCTGAAGTTGGGTACATTGCACAGAAGTGTCACTGAACCCTGCAATATTTTTGAACGGTATTATAAAGGAGAAGCAAACGTTTCAAAAGATTGCCCATCTCCACACACAAATCGCACAGAGGAAAGCAAAACAAATTTCAAACAGAGTTAACAAAGCTTATGCTCAACATTGTACGTGAGAAACACTGCTGTCAACTGCAAAGGATGTTCCAAATCTCCTATATTTATGTGATGAGTGCCATGTGCCAAAGTTTGGTGTCAATGTCGGCAATGCCACTCTCTCATTGTTACAAACAAGTTGGCCTTGTGCTAAGCTCTCCGTGACAAATATGAACCACCATTATGATGTATGTGGAATGTACAAGAATTTCGCTTGGGGATTCAGAATGGTACAGTTTGCTGAGCTTATTTTGCACTCCTCTGGCAGGTAGGCATTGTATCCCTCTTTCCAGGTGGCAACTCCAAATTCTTTGCATCTAAACTTTTATGCAGGATCATTGCCGGAGACGAAAACAGATCAGCCCCTCCCTAGAAAGGAACTGTAGAGACTCCGCGGCCGTTTCCAGAACGGAATGATCCGGCACTCATCCGTACCCTAAAACCAGAAGCGATGATGATATAGTTCGTATTCGCATTGGGAATGGTTGTTATGCTTCATGTTCCCTGAAGTTTTTGGTTGGCGCGCTGTGTCTTTACAATAACGACAACATCGGTGCCCTGTCTTTGTCCCTATCACAGCTCATTAATTCAGTTGTTTGTGTCTGATTGGCAGAAGGGAGATGCCTCCACCCCAAAGCGCTCACCACTTCGGCTTCGTAGTTTGTCTCTTTTGTGTGTGGCACCACGAGGACAAGGTGATTATCCAGACATCCAATTGCTTTGTGATCCCTTCTTTCTCCCCCTTATCTTGTCTCTTGGTCATCTGCTCCTTGCTCTGCTTGTTGTTGTTCTTGCTTCAAGTTCTCCTTCCTCGTCCAGTTCATTCTGTTTCCTCCCTTCCCTTTTGAACTTAGACTTTTTGTCTCAGTGCTGCCATGACCGGAACAGTGATTTTGGAGAAAATGTCAGTTTCTCATGTGCCTTGAGGGGATTGTAGGGATACTGCTATGATCCTGCTCAATTCATAATTCAAGACAACTTCGAGACAATGCCATACTTTGCAACTTAAAGAGAAAAGAAAGAAAGACGGCAACAAAGAAGAACAAGAAAAGAAAGAAAGAAAGAAAAAAGGACACGGGATTCAACTTATGTCATCTCGCTCCACTTGCCATAATCGCCCACCCTTGCATTCCGCATTGTCCTCTTACTGACGGTTTAATACAAAAATAAATGAACGAATGGATAAGAATCAATGTACGAATGGCCCCCCCTTACTGCCAGCACTCGAAGAACTTGCCTCTAGGCCTCTCTCTGACTTTTTCTCTTCGTGGTTGCACAACTACCTATGGCGGTTCATCCATGCCTATCACAGATGTTGAAAGGACAACACACTACTATCATGCCTGTCCTATCTCTCTCCGCCATAGACACACTCTTGGATGAAGTCCATGTTCAACTGATTCCCCAACAGGGGCCTTTCAGATGCAGATGATAGTCCACCATAGGAAAGGTAAGTCCCTCTTGCCTCTACTCTTCCCTTCCACCTACCTCATAACCTAGCTTAGGTCCTTCTACCGCTACCTCCATCGCCAATGTAGTCTCCCTCGTACTCCATAGCCATGGAGGCTGTGTTCCTCTCCCTCAGCTCCTCATTCCGCCATGAAGTACTCCAGCTCACTCTCCCTCAGGGCAGAGCAGCAGCATGATTGCCAGGTAAATGCCAGGACTTCTCGTTGTAGTGCATGATATAGTCTTGCCTCTCCAACTTCCAGGCCACTCTGCCAGCGGACTAGCACCCAACTTCAGAAGCTCACAATCAAATGTCACATGAACACACAATGCTCAACTCAATGATAACAAGTAAATTGAGACAGTATTGAAAAATAAGATGCCAAGTCAACCTGGCAGTCCGGCCATTGCATGCCTTGCGTTACTTCGTTGTCTTCAACTGTTTTCTTCCAGTTTATCTTCATCTCCGATGCTAGTTGGAAAGCTTGCATGGCTCTTGTCAAATGATGAGTCTGATGCCTTTATAAGGACTGTTAAGTCGTCCGTGAACAGCATCACTGTTGGAAGCTGAATTAGCCCGTCTTGTCCATCATCTAGAGCTTGTAACCTTTCTATTGAAGGGTCTTTCATCAGGAAGGCAGCTATTACCTCCACGGCGAAAAGGAATATTGAAGCAGCTAGTGGATCTCCTTGCCTAACCGACCTCGTCATTCTATAGGTTTCTGATAGGTGGCCATTAATTTGGGCCCTCCCCCTTGTGTCTGCGCACAAAACCCTCACCCATTTTCTAAAGGCTGCCCCCACTCCTATTTTCTCCATATACTGCTGGAAGGAGTCCCAGTTTACCTGGTCGGAGGCCTTTCGAAATCGAGGAAGAGAATGGCTACCTGTAGTTTCTTGTCACTTGTTAATTTGGTTGCCTCATTCAGACAGATTACATTGTCCAGGATGAACCTTCCTGGGATGAATCTTGTTTGGTCCATATGAAAGCATTTGTCTGTTACATTGCTTCGCTGCTTCTCATTCTTTGGTAATGTAGCATGTGCCTTTTCTGCTGCGGTGTTCATGAATGGGATGATCACACTGTAGGCCGGACTCTGGTGTCTTATCAGGAACCAGCTGTGCTTGATGAAGTAGACATCATGCTGATGGTTTAATGTTAGGTACATGGACAGCATGTGGTTCTGTCATTCACGATGGGTCGAAAGAGGGACTGCTGTGTCCCCTTCACCCAGCCCCTTCTTCTGCACATCTTGGATTGTTCTTTCAGAAGGGTTCTCTTTTGCTATCCTCTCTGAAACTGAAAGCTCACCTTGAAAGTCTTGTGATTGTTCGTTGTATGCTTATTTCATGCCTAGTGTTCCATGTATGACATATAAATGCCATACATTGAGAAACCCAAAGCTGGGAATGAGAACGAAGACATCTCTTCTTCTAATTGCAACTCCTTGATGTTGGGGATAAACACGTGCTGAGCTGTGGTGCTGCTTGGCACTGCCTTCTGTCTATTGGGCATGATGTGTGCAGCTTGCTCACCTCCCAGAGCCCGCCTGCGGCAAGGAGGGAGTCGCCGTCATGGGACTAATCTCTCTGTGCCTGTACGGGAAGGACCATCACCAAGCGATAGTGGTCGGAATGGAGATGAGGTATTGGTGCAGTCTGTGGATAGCAAGAGTTTGCCTCAACCTAGAGGTGAGGTGATTGTGGCAGAATCAGAGCAAGTCAATGAGGAGGGGGAGGACAGGGGGAACGAAGAGGAGAAGGTTGCTGTAGAGAGCAGTGTGCAGGTATCGTGTTCACATGAGGAGGAGGAGGATGAGTATTGCAGTTTATGGATGACACACTCCAATTCTTCCAGCATCCCAAACCGAAATGTTGATGACTACTCTCCAAACGGCAAGGTACCACCATTTCTTTCTCGTCCACTGAACCCTGGCCCAATTCGTCAGGCTTGATTTACATAAGTTTTCTTACCTCCCAGAAAGCTATAGTCTCATTGTTGTAGCCATTACCATTACTATCTTCCCTTTTTCTTGTTTGCTTCCCAGTTTTCCGCCATATGTAGCCTAGTCGTGGGTGCGATTGGCGAGAGTGATTGTTTTCAATTCCCACTAAATGCGCTCCAGTATCCATCCTGCCTCACTCACAGTAACTTGCTTTGAAGTTCTGAGTTCCTCGGGCTTCCAACACCAAAATGGAAACATGAATGGTCTAGGACAATTTGCCACAAATTTGGACCATCTCTTTAGTTGTGCATGTCATCCTTGTGCTGTGGGCATGGCAGTCTTCTGCACCAGATACATTCTAGACAACGTACTAACCCTCAGCGAAGCGGCAATTCTTTTCTTTGATTTTGAAAAGGCTTATGACCAGGTCAACACGGCCTTTCTCAATGCAAGCATGGAAAAGATGGGAGTGGGCCCGAATTTTAGAAAGTGGGTGCGAATCCTATATAATGATGCCATAGGGTGTGTTCAAGTCAATGGTCTRCTTTYGGACTGCTATCCAATATCTCGGTCAGTYCGACAAGGGGACCCACKAGCTCCCCCAATCTTCCTCTTCGKGATGGAAGCAATTGCRTCATTYCTACGCAAAGACCCATCCATTCACAGACTACCRGAGGTTAATGTAGGCACARCCCACCACCTAAAGTTCCCGACAGTAATAATGTTCGCTGACRACCTCACGGTCCTCATAAGAGYTTCAGAYTCGTCGTTCRGTGCGYTARTAAGAGCAATGGAGGCATTYARACTGGCATCAGAAATGAAGATTAATTGGAAAAAGACAATTGGATGGTGGCTATCGGAGGAAGACGCTCCCCAACTTCAAGGYCCGGAGGCAGAAATGACATGGGAGTCACCACAGACTCCTACRAGGTATTTAGGCATCTTGTTGACGAAGGACGGCTTTGCCCCTCAGATGGCTCAAAATGTACTCGTAAAACAAATTAACAAACTGGGTAGGTGGGGCAACACATTTACATCGCTGCTGGGTCGGGCACTAGCTATCAACACATCGATTTTCTCAATGATGTGGTATATTGCATCAATTTGGACTGTTCCAGATCATTCAATCAAGGAACTTAACCGTAAAGCCAAGGCCTACTTGTGGTCGGGCGACCCCAACAAAGAGAACTGCATACCAAAGATAGCTTGGCACTACATCACAAGGAAACCAGCCAAAGGAGGCCTAGGTATCATAGACCCCAAACAGGTCTTTGGATTTGGGTTTACCCACCTTTTTCGGCATGACTTCCCGCCATGTCCGTAGCAGTGCAGTCCAATAGGGTGTAGGAGGCCTGGCTACGTTTGGGTCAGTTCCTCTTCGTTGATTTCTGCGTCCTGTATTCAGAATCCAATCCTTGGACATTACCCAGAACAGACCGAACATGTTTGCTGGCGTGGATATAGGTGCTAGGGCCCGGATGCTATCCAAAGCCAGTTTATTCCACGTCGTGCCTGGTTTTGTCAGTAGTTTGATCACGACCCTAACAGCTCAGATCTATGCATGGTATGTTCACAAAATGAACCTAAAGATATATTACATTGTCTGATACGCTGTAGAGAGGCGACCGAATACTGGGCGAGAGCCTCGGATCTATGGGACTCCCTCTTCCCGATTCCCCTCCCCGAACATCCTGTCCAACTCCTATGTACTAACATCCCTTCCCAATTTCATAAGTCGGAGAAAATATGGTTTGGAATGATCCGAAAGACGACGCTGTGGTCCATCTGGAAGGAAAGGTGCTGCAGAACTATTGAGGGACTCTCCACTCCAAGGGAGGCGGTATGGGCGAAGACAAAGACCATGATCCAGGCTGAGATTCTTTGCAAATGGCATAAGAAAAGACAATCTATGCCGGATAACGTAGAGCAACAGGAAAAAATCAAGGCAAACTTTACTAAGGTGTGGCTTGCAAGGGGCAAAGTGGTGGAGATAATCGACTCTCGCATAAGGCTGTCTCTTATACACATCTAGATGTGTATAAGAGACAGGGATAACGTAGAGCAACAGGAAAAAATCAAGGCAAACTTTACTAAGGTGTGGCTTGCAAGGGGCAAAGTGGCGGAGATAATCGACTCTCGCATAAGGTGGAAGGACTGGCACAATTCAGAAACAGGGAGGAGGAGGCAGAGTTCTCAGTCAGCAGAAGGACCAGCTCTATCACAGGCYACATAATGAGTGGAGCCTGGATTCAGATACTGTAGCTTCCATAGCGTCCTGTTATTTCTTGTTTTTATTGTTTATACGACAGGCTTAAGCAGTAGACCTGAGAGGAAAGAAGAAGGAAAGGCAAGCTGACAGTCAATCCTCCACGCCTGTCTCTTATACACATCTAGATGTGTATAAGAGACAGGTCCAAATCTGTTGACGTCAGTGACCTTGCTCTATCTGATTGGGACACGGACTTTATGCTTTCGGACCAGGACACTCGCCGCGGAGGGGATCTCCACTGGGACATTTTATCAGACTTTACCGCACGATCCGCCGCCTGACTCGAACCTTGGACACCACTCAATTCTCTCTTGCATTTCGGTGTACATCTTGAATCTGGTTTGCTGTGTTTTCACGGAGCTGAGGCCGGCTAGGCTTGGGAGGACCGCATACGTAGTCAGTCCAGACTGTGTGACTGGATCAGATCTCTCTGATCTTCTTTTTTTGTTTTGATGACTGCTCTCCAGTCCAAATGAATTGCCGCTCCGGCTAGGAGTTCTACCTTCTCTTCTGACTGATTTCAAGTTGTTTCTTACATTGGGTTCATTAATGTCTGTGTCTACACGGTCGCAAACGAGAGAGAGAGAGAGAGAGAAGAGAGAAGCTTCTGAGTGTTGCTCTTGAGGGAGTGAGGAGAGGGAAGAGGAGTGTTCGTCCCAGACAAGGAAGGAAGTACGGACCCCTCTTGAGAGACTTATTGACTCCCTCGTCCTCCATCATGGCGTCTGCAGCAGCTTGGAAGCTGCAAATGGACGCTGCCCCTAAGGCAGAGAAAGCGCAGTACCGATTCTTCCATGAGAAAGCATTGAAGAGGGAGGAGGAAGAGAAAGAGAAGGAGAGGGAGGAGAAGGTAAAGGCTCATGAAGCCATTTTCTGTACCTTGCCTGCCCTGACCGATGCGGAGGTGGAAGAGAAAATCGTTCCACTCCTCCGGGCTTTAGTGGACGTCCGGACTGTTGAGGACCACACTGGCCGACTCGCCAAAGTGTTCGACGAACTTAAGAAGTTGCGCGAGGACATGGCCCTGATGGCGCAGCAGCACCGTGACCAGCTGAAACAGTTTGCTAATGTGTCAGTCTGTTTTTGCCCCTCTAAATGTGTCTTCTTCTACTTCTTCTTCATCTTTGAGTGTGGCTAACAGCCAAACCGGATCTGCAGCAGGTCCAAACCCCGCTGCTGCTGCTGCTGCTGCTGCTGCTGCAGCGGCAAGTGGCAGTGCAGGGGATTCTGGAACTATTGCAGTCCCGAGTACGGACCAGACAATGGCTGGTCTTAGCGGCAGCTTTGCTTACATCGACAGGAAGGTGGCGCAGATTCCGTCCAAGTATGACGGAAAGGACGACATCGAGTCCTGGATCAGCTCCATGTGATCCTACTTTGATGTGTTGGGGACCCCCCCGTCAAGCCAGTCGTCTATCCTAGGGACTAATGTGGAGCCCGTCGTGAGGGGTTGCTTGGAAACCCGAGCTGTCCAGTCAGGCTATAAGAGAATAGACCTGAACAAATGGTTGAAGGCTACGCCTACCGCCACACTCGAGGATCTCTTGATCAAACAGTATGCTGATCCACATGCTGCAGCCAAAGCTAGACTTAAGCTTGACAAGCTCAAGCACAGCAAGTGGATCGGCACCATGCATAGCCTGCAGCAGTATGTTAGTAAACTCTTTGCTACTCCGGATCTGGAGATGACTGCGCAGTCTTTTTGGGATGTGATAAAAGGTACGGTCCCCTCTACTCTAAAAGATCGCCTAGGGCTCAGACTCAGCACATATACAGATTGGCTTACCCTCATGCGGGATTTAGTCAAGCTGGAGGCACAAGACCTCCAGGGTGGATCAAGTGGCAAAAAGACCACCAGCCGCAAACGGTTTCCAGGCAGCAACCGTTTTGCAGCACACGATCTGCTTCAGGCTGACGAGGAGACCCTCGTGGAGGAATCTTCTCTTGATAACGATCAAGAGCAAGACTGTGGGGCATCTTGCTCTTTGTCAGCCCATGAGTCTGAGTATGTGAACGACGATGAAACTATGAATGCCTTCAAAAAGACTGCCTTTAAAAGTAAGGGACCGAGGACCACAATGAAGAACAATACTAACACCATTCTTCTTCCCAAGGGAGCGAAAAGTTGTTGCCCGTCTGTCCAGCTTCGTGGGGCCACTGAAAACATCATCAAAAAAAACATGGAAAGGATTTGTCTTGCCCTGTGTGACTCAGCAAGGCACAAACTCTCCAAATAGCAGAGTGTTGCGGCTGTGTTGTTTCCTGGATGTGCCCCCTTGTGTGACTGTGCGGTGTAGAGAAATTGTGAAATGGCATATTATGCGAAAAACGGTCCTGGTGCGTGAGTATGCGCTTAGAAGACTCAGGATTGATTCTTTTCTTTTCCCCCAAAAAATCATGTGCACACCTCAACGCTTAATAGACTTGTCAGTTTTCAACAGTGCAAGTTCTCGGCAAATTCTAATTGGACTATACGGTTGGCAACGGAAGAGTTTAATTGAGGATGTTCATCCTCTCACATGCGTTGTCCCGGTCCCAGGGGGTATCCTATCAAGTTAGATCAGTCAAGACGCAGGCTACTGTGCTGTAGTATTCTACAAACGGTCTGTAGTATCGTGTCGTTCCTGAGGAAGATCTAGCCCCAGTCATAGTCTGAGGTCATGGTGAGTCCCTAATGGCTGCCGCT